AATAGTATTGTATTATTGTATTATAACATATATATATATATATATATATATATATGCATATATGCCTTATTGTGTCAAATGTCACTGTCAGTATTCAGTGTTTGTTTTTTATATTAATCTTGTTCTCTCACCTTAGTTGATGAGTTCCTCCATAATCATCAGGCCAGTTGACCATGCAGACGGTTCTGGGGTAGTAAAATCTTGTCACACTGTAGTAGCACTGAGGGAAAGCCAGTAAGATGGCTACTATCCAAATCAGGGCGATGACAACCTTCGTAGAGGTGGAGGAGAGGCGAGGCTTCAGAGGGTGGATGATAGCCATGTACCTGAAACAAGAGAACAAGGTTTATTCAGTCATATCTATCTTTTACTTGTTGTTACTTGATGTTTAACTGATGTAAACATATGTAAAGAAAACCTGTGTGGGCATCTGTGCCAGAAATAGTTTTACTCATCCATCAAACCATTAGCTGTGAGATAATGATTTAAATCCAGTCAGTCAATGTGTCAATCAACGTAATTAGTATTAGTATTAGCTTAATGAAATACAGGGTAATGCAGGAATAATAATGATCTGCCTCTTTGCTTCACAACTCTCAAAGTGTCCAAAACCTTGAAATAATCTAAATAATTCTGAATACCACACAAAATATAGAACTGATCACTTTCATTGCAGTGTGGTATCTCTTTGTAGAGGAGACCTCTCTTTCATTAAAGACGAAGAGCTCTTTTGTTGATTTATCATCTGTCTCTCTACCTTTGCTTGTACACTGGCCCTCTGCCAAGGGAATAATACTCACAATATTTTATTCCTCTCTGCATGTCTGTGTGCTAACAAAGACTATAATGATTCTCGACAATTATCTTTATCATTAAACATAAAATATATCTTGTGAATATTTGTATGTGTACAAGGATTTTATGGAATCAGAGGAAGATTTATTAATCACAGATGATCATGGATAATAGTTAATGTATGTATCTCCATATCTGATTTGTAAGAACAAGAACCTTTACGCATGAGAACATAAAATGTTTATTGAAAAGAAATAGTGCCCCCTGGTGTATATATACTGTAGTTTGTTGGAAATTTGGTGTAATAATACTAATAATGTGAAAAATGATTAAAAATACCAATAATTGTGGTGGCCATGGCAACCCATTGTAAATTTTATGTAATGTACTAAATTTGCTAAAGAACATTACGCAGTACTGCCACCTTTATAGTCAAATTATTTAACTACTGTATGACTATGAATCATTCATTTGAATTATTCAGACTGCCAGCATGAATGTATTTCCCCTTTTCTCACTGTGTGTGATCTTGCATCAAATGATTTTCATTAAAGACACAACTTTGAAGTGATTTTTTTATTGTATTCTGTTGTATTGTATTCTGGCCTCATATTAAGCTCATATTAACATTTAGGAGGATCTATTGGCAGAAATTAAATATAATATTCACAGGTATATTTCTATTATTGTACAAGCACCTCAATAGAGGAATAATTATGTGTTAATTACTTTAGAATGAGTCTTTTATACCTACAGATAGGAAGGAACTACAGTGGCCACAAACCACACAAAAAATGCAAACAGCCCTATCTGTATCTGCCAGTGTTTGGTTTTTCCCTTCAGGGCTACTGTAGAAACATGGTGGTCAACATGACTGCCTTCATGAAAGGCGACCTGCTGTGTCTGTAGATATAAAAGGCTCAATCTAAGATAAGAAAAACACAACCATTCTTATATTCAGGTGATTATACATTAATGAAAACAATACATTATTATATTCCATTTCTCCCAATAGATCCTTCTCAATGTCACACACTAGACCTTTAACCCTTAAATCTCAAAAAGGTAGGTGAAACCTTTAGGGTTGTTGCTGCGATGTGAAGGTGGCAGAGAGTCATACAACAACCATTTTATGAATCTAGACTATGTTTATGTGTTAACTGATTGTAAATAAATCAATAAAGTCACATAAATGGTTAATTCCACAAATTGGAAGCTAGTGAGGAGGAATAATGAAGTTATAAGCAGATTTCACACCTGGTCTGATGTCAGCATACGGCTCATCTGTCACTTCATCTGTCCTGAGCCACGCAGAGAGCCACATATCATATATGTCACATACACATATGAGAGAATAATGAAATGGTTCCAATGAAACTCTTTTGTCTGGAACAACTGCATTGCGGTGTTTGTAGTGAGTTTATTGGGTGCACTTGTGCTGCAATAAATCCCATCTTTATGAAGTTTATAATGTTTGTTTTCTGGTCATTTTTGAGATCATAATTAGTGATGTTGTTGTACTGGACTAGAACAAAGCACTAGAAACACCTGAAAAATAACAATAAGTTAATTAATACAATATCTATTACAGGGCTGTTTTTTATTACAGCAGATTGTACACATGTGCCTAATAAACCTGTAACTCAGTATATATGTTAAGCACAGTTTCAGACTTAGAACAGACTGACCATTCATGCTCCAGTAAGCATTAATGACATCTGTATCTTTGCTGCTTGTTGACCCATATCTCCTTCATGCAGCAGTTAAACAGTTGCTGCTGATGATGACATCAAGTGATGTATCTGAATGGACCTCAAATAACTCTGAAAATGGTCAATGAAGAATTAACTAATGAGTAGGCCCGTTAGCCTGTATCTGCCAAAATACATGGGATGACAAGAAGTTTTCAGGATATTTTGTACTCATCAACCTACTGATGAGTCTTGAGCATAATTAAAATCAATAAGGAAAGAAACATTGATATATCATATGTTGTAGTTAACAGGGTTATTTGCTAATGCAACCTGGTTTCTGTACTGCTGAGTTGACTGTTTCAGTAAGTAGTCATCCATCCCTTTTTTGACTATACATAATGCAGGTCCTAAGTGGGGTTTTTGCATGAGAATCAGTAATCCTATTAGTGTCTAATTGCTGGTACGAAACAGTTTCTTAGGTGCTGGCTTTTTAATGGCAATTTGGAGGAGAGCCTCAGCTTCAATGCAATGTTAATCAAGACTTAATTTGTAAGAGAGCTCTCATACCTGTCCACTGCGATGGCAGCCATCGAGTATATTGATGAAAACATGGCCGTGATGGGGAAGAAGTTCTGAAATCGGCAGTAACCCAGGCCAAAGTACCAGTCATTATGAAGAGCATAGACAAAGTTAAAAAGAGTGTTGAAGGTTGCCATGGAAACATCAGAGAAGGCCAGGTTGACAATGAAGTAGTTGGTTACGGTCCTCATGCGCCTGTGAGCAAGAATAATCCAGATCACTGTGACGTTCCCAGTGATGGACACCAAGATGATGAGGGAGTAGGCTATAGCCCACAGAGCCACCTGAGAGAGGAGAGGAGGAGGAAGAGGAGAAGAGGGCATGGGAAGAGGAAACGATTGTGAAAAATAGATAGACTGTATGTGTAGCTACTGTAACAAGAAAGATATTAAATATAAAATGTATATTATAATGTGATATTGTTCTCCCCACAAGACTTCATTTGTAAAACTAGTTTTACTAATGTACAAAAAGCTATTTCATACAAAAAGAAGAGATGTAGGCTATCAAATTTACAGCATCGACATACATAAAGATGATTTATACTAATAATTCAATTAATACAAATACAATTCCAAAATACTACTTGAATACTCTCTGTTTTTAAGACAAATCAGTCACAGGAACATGATTCAACTCTTCAATCAACTCTTTCATTCATTCTGTCTCATTTCTCTGTATGCAAATACAGTATCCCGGCTCTGTAATTCCCTCAGTAAGAAAGAACTGACTTCAACCAGTTTCATTTCTGATCTGCTCTCCCACCTGCCAGTCGGGCTGCTGGAACTGATTCCCAGTCGTCTCGTTTCCGTCCTCCAGCCAGTCGGTGGTCACTGATAACGGGAATGAAGTGGCCTCCATGTCTCGTTCAATGTGTTGAATGAGACCCTCAGCGTCCATATTCGTCTCCCTGTTCACCTGGTGACAGAAACTTGATCTAACTGTGTGCGCTATGCGTCATGCGTAATTAACCATAATGAGGGATTGTTGTACTTAAATAGTTTTTTAAAAATTCCTTGTGTTGTTGGTTTTTTTGAGTTTCGCAAACCTAATTTTTTATTATTATTTTTTTTTAAGTATTTACAGTGGGTCATAAAACCTCGTCACCTTTTCATTTTCTTCTCATCGACTATAGCCAAAGCCAGTTTGGAAAATGTCATACAGTACATATAAGCTGTTGTGCAGAGAGAAATGTATTTACCCTTTGGCTTTCAGATGTTTAATTATATTATTTTAAAATAATGAAACCCTGAAACAACTATGCATTTCAGATTTGAGCCAGACAAGTGTTAAATTACACTGTTTGAGCATTTGGCGCCTGAGTTAATAATCATACACCATATCACTATTATGGCAAGTATCACAGTCTACTGATAGCCTAATCTAACATTAGCAGGTTAGGTTTTAATAAAACATTTCCTTAAAGCTAACTGCACTTTATAGTCCACATTTGATAGAAAATATGCTTTAATTAACTGGTAATATACAAAATAAACTCATAAGCCAAAATGCATTACGGGAATTTGGCAGACACAAACAAAATTATGTTTCCATTTCCAGCCATACAGCCCAAGTGATGAAAATGATGTATTGGACAACACCAAGGAAAGATATTCTCTATAAAAATAAGACAAAATCTCTGTCAGATTATTACTTTAATTTGTCTTACCTCTCTGATTAGATGGTTGAGTTGTCAGTTTTAACATCAGTTTGTCCAGTCCATAGCAAATAATGTCCGAAAATTAGACTCCTTCTGCGTAATGGACAAGCAAACCCTTCCAATAATCCATCAAGACATCTCAAGACATCCCCCCT